AAGTGGCCATTTACATGAGCACATGAGGACTCACACGGGTGAAAAGCCTTAGGTTGCTGGAATCGCGGCAAAAGATTCGCAATTAGTAACACACTCAGTGTAAGCATGAGAACTCACACAGGTGAGACACCCTACAAATGTCAAACCTTCGGTAAAAGTTTCACTCAAAGTGGCAGTCTCCATGTGCACTCACATATGTGAAAAACCCATCAGACACATGATGACACATCACAATTGTTGAACCATAAATTTACAGGACTTTTCGCGAAGGTTTCCCTCATATTGACTATCTTTGCAGTTATAACCTGATTAGAAATGCAACGGTATAGCCGTGCTGCCTTAAACGAGAGTGAAAATCTCCGCGGACACACAATAGTTTCTATGATTTGTAACAGGAAAAATATTAATTGAGGCCGACCCTAACGATACTCATTTTTCAATGTATTTCTGGTGTTATTTTTAGTTGTGTTCTTATAAAATCTGTGTCGTTTTTTATTTTTTAAAATTACTCTGTAACTATTTGTATATTGTAAATTATTTTCCGCTTTTGCTTTTGTGTTGCCGTTTTGTACTGAATGATTTTTATTACTCTACGTAACTGTTGCTTTATCAATAAATCTGTATTAAGACAATCCCTTCAAATGCTTGAACGTCTGTGCTCTTCTGTGCTGTGTTCCGTCCCGAATCTAAGCTTATTCGCTTAAATTTCCCGATTTAGCTGCAGTGCTTTGATTGCCTCTCTCCGGATTCCACCTCTATTTTGTGCGGCGCGCACACAGTTCTTGTGCACTCTGCATCTGGTGCAGTTTGTTCGTTTCGAACTTGATGCTCCCAGGCAGGACACCGTTTCCTTGTCGTTAGGACACGTGGGGCTAGCGCGGGCTAGTGAGAGGGCCTTCTCCATGCAACCTTTCAACCTCGAATTCTAACTGCAGTTATCCCGCTCATTAACGCTGCACCAGCCCTCCGCAAGAGAGTATTTCTTCCCGACTCTAGCCCGAAAGTCATCACTCCTTTCTCTTATTTCAGGAGCCGCCCCCGAGGCCAGGACGCCCGAGCCCAGGAAGCTCAAGATCCTCAACCCCAAGGTCTCCGGGCACAACAGGGCCTCCGAGACATGGACCGCCGCGGCCCCTCGCCCCTCTAAGCGTGTCGTGAGCCGCACGACGCGCAAGGAACCAACCATGCACTGCGACGCCTTACTCTGTAAGTTTCATGGCGGAGGCCAGCTGGTGGATGCAGGCGTGCGGTCGGTTTGCGTACTCTGTACCCTTGTAGGTTAGTTAAATTTGCTCGCACGTCAGCATCTTCGACGGTTGTTTGCTCCGCCTCCCTCGCATCGGACCGCCTGGATCCGGGTCCAGAGACCTTTCTCCAAGACTTTCCCCCCTGTTTTCGATTAACCTGCCCCCCCCCCCCTACTGACTACAGTAATGTCCCTCTCGAAGCTGGATCGCTCGAAGCTGAAATTTTGAGACGGACCCTGCTTACGGATGGGGGTTTACAACATGGCGAGCTCGCGCGAGCTCGGGCGACAAAGCATTTACAACCGGTAAATACAGTAGGTTCTCAAAATGATGGCTAACTTTCGGGGCGTCCTCTCGAAGCTGAAATCCGGTCCCGCATTGACAGCTTCGAGAGGGACATTACTGTATGTCGATACCAAATGAGTAGAGCGCTTACCCTCCACGCTCTCCTCGACAGCCGCCACCAAACCACCGCCTGCTGGTGCTGCTGGGGCTCGAAGAGAGCAAGTGCAGGACGAAAAGGACCACGGCCAGCACGACGCTGCCGGAGAGACCCCCAACCGCTGTGCGACCTGCGGGGCGGCCTTCAGGAGGGCGGCCCTCCTCCGGGCACACATGCGGACACATGGCGCCGATAAACTGGACAGCGATGAACACTGCGGCGACAGTTCAGCGGACAGTGCTCACCATTGTAGACACGCGGTGACTCACACAGGTGACAGACCTTACAGCTGCCAGAACCGAGGAAAACGTTTCTCTCAAAGTACTAATCTACGTGTACACATGAAGGCTCACACAGGTGAGAAACCCTTCAAATGCCAGACTTGTGGCAAAGGATTCACACAACGTGGAAATCTTCATGTGCACCTAAGGACTCACACATGTGAGAAGCCGTACAATTGCCTGACTTGCGGCAAAGGTTTCATTCGGAGCAACATACTCCAAAACCACATGAGGACTCACACGGGTGAGAAACCTTACAAATGCCAGACTTGCGGCAAACGATTTACTCTGAGCTCCACACTTCGTTCGCACATGATGACTCACACGGGTGAGAAACCTTACAAATGCCAGATTTGCGGCAAAAGATGCACCCAGAGTACTGCACTCCGTTCCCACATGAGGACTCACACGGGTGAAAAACCTTTTCAATGCCAGACTTGCGGCAAACGGTACACTGATAGGACCACACTTCGTGTTCACATGAGGACTCACACAGGTGAGAAGCCCTACATGTGCCAGTTTTGCGGCAGAGGTTTCGCTGGGTGCACCACACTCCGTGTGCACCTGAGGACCCACACAGGTGAGACACCGTACCACTGCCAGACTTGTGGCAAAGAATTCAAGCAAGGGCCCCATCTACATAAGCACATGAGGACTCACACAGTTGACGGACCCTACAAATGTCAGACTTGCGGTAAAGGGTTTACTCATAGTTACAAGCTCCGTGCGCACATAAGGACCCACACGGGTGATAAGTCGTATGATTGTCAAACTTGTGAGGCGGGTCTTTCCTCGAAGTTTTCTTTAAAAAGACACATGCGCTTAGTACACCGTTTTTAAACCCGGCATTTACTAGACTTCTGACAAAGGTGTCTTATGGTACCCATCTGTTCAGTCCTACATCGTGTTTTTAATGCGACTGTGTGAAAATAATGAAAATCGCGATAGGCCCCCTATGAATTGAAATAGGAAATATACTGATTGACTCTGGCCATAGCCAAATCCAATTATTTAATGTATTTCTGGCTTAACTTAAGTCGAGGTTTTAGTTGTTTCTTTTTTATCTCTGTTGTTTATTTTTAATTTTGCATTACCTTGTAATATCAGTATTTTGTGACTTATTCTGCTCTACTGCTTTTGCCGTCAGCTCTTTTGGCTGGATCTTTTTTTTCAGGGCTCTACGTTAACTGGTTAACTGTAATACCCAATTACCCAATAAATCTGAAGGAAAAAAAAATCACTTCAACTACTTGAATTTTAGTGCTGTCCTGTGCAGACCAGACCCGAACCAAATTTAAGTTCACGATCGAGCCGGAACGGTTCTGAATCTCCGTTTGTTGCATTGCTCACCGCTGCTCTGCTCACCGCAGAAATAGTGACAGTAATACCCACGTCAGTGTTGACGTACAGGTTTGCCACTTTTCGAATCGTTTCGAGTGTGACGGCCCCGGGCAGGACGCCTGGTCCTCGCCGTGGGGACTGACTTGCGTCGGCGAGTGCGAGGGCGCGCAACTAATCAGAGGTCTAGCAAAATATTCTTTTTGTTCCTTCTATCATGCAACTTTTCCATGCGTGATCACAGCTCAAACAGTAAAATATCTTGTTTTCTTATTTATGAACCGGATATGTTTGTTTTACAAACAGGGGTTTTTGTAGCTCTAATTGCCTGTCTTTCAGACGGCTTACCTTACCAGATCATATGGTGGCGATACTCCCCCTTCTCCGTACATAGAACCGCGCAAGAGTCGTTTT